TTTTAATCTGTGTGTTTGTTTTGCTCTGTTAGAATTGTAATACAATGGTTGCTGATGACATGATAAATAAATTAAGGTGCTTAAGAAGTAACCTATTCCTTTTAGTCCTTGCAGAATTTAAAAAGCAACTCCAAATTCTTTTGTTTTGTTTTCCTTATAACTTGTTATTCCTTCTTCCTTCTTCCCTCCTTGTTTTTCTTTGGCGGTGGGATCTGTAGAATTTAAACAAATGTGGTACAAACTTTGAAAAAAAAAACCTAGTCAAACTGCCTTATGAATTAAGACATCTTTTAAAATATTCTCAAACAGCATCTCTTTAAAGCAATTAGAAAATGTTATTCATTAGACACACATGCAAAACATCCTTTGTTCACATGCATTGCTGTCTTTGAAATGTTGTTCACTTGGTAGTTGTCTTATTTTTAAAAATGTAACTTCTCATTTTTGTTTTCTTATTGAAAAATATAACCGATTGCAGCTAATTGTGTAACTTAAAATGTATTCCTAGAAGCAGTGTCAAAATGATTTTGCCCCTTTGATGCCCTTTTATGTCCTCCACCCCCCCCTTCCCCATACAGCAGCTGTTTGTCAACACATTTTGGGGTATTTGGAAATGTCAAGATTGAACTCTGAGTGGACCACATGAACATTCAGGAGTAAGCTGTTCTACTGAGAAAGAATGAAGACTGAATTTGGTTTGGTTAGTTCCTTTTGGCAATCTGGCTTGTTCGGCTAGCTGAACAAGGGCTCGGCTGCCATGGGAGTTTTTGCCCAAGATGTGCCATGTGGCAGCCAGTCACATCTCTTCCTTTCCTATTCATCATCATGCGGCACACAAAGAGGCTGCTGTATGCTCACACAGGGTTTCCCTGTGACCCCTGCCTGTTGGGTCAATCAGAATAGAAGAATGCTGTGACATGTCTTATCCAACCTGATCTATTTAATGGGTTGAGAGCTTCCATTGCTCTCAGTTGCATTCTGGCTCTAGAGGAAGCTTGCCACTCACCCTCAGCTTTATTTTTTGGCTTGGCTTAGCCTCTCTCTATCATTGATTTTTTTTGATTTTCTTGATTTTCCTTTATTTTCTTGATTCTTTTTATTTAGTGGGATTGGGAGTTGGGAAAGTGTGAACAAGAAATGAAAAAGCTTTAGAAGAAGTTGCTTGCTGTTGTTTTTTATTAGTAAAGAAAAAAGTGTAATAGCGGGGCACTGGGCTGTGAGGTGTGGAAGTGCACTTTTGACATTTGGCAGGAAGGACTCATGGAGGAGTTACAGGACAGAGCCAGTGGGGGGGGGGAGTATACCTTTTGGGGATTTTTAAAAAGATTTATTTTATAAAAAGAAAAGCAATTCCCAAAAATCAGGGGATGACCCAAAAATTATGAACCTTGGTGGGCTAACAGTAGTAGATGTATCTTTCAAATGTGGTGATTTTCATTCTGATAGCCCTAAAAATGACAGGAGGGAGAACCCGGGAAGCCCCTCCCCTTTGCTGCCAATGAGCTGGATCTTGGTTGAAAGTGGCTATTTAGATACCTGGCTATTTTTGGGAGGTGCTTGAAAACGGATCTGGGGGTCCAGGGGTCTCCCAAAATTTGGAAAGCAGAAATGGATCGAGGTTCAGCCAACATTGCATATAATAAAGAACATAAGAAGATCAGATCTGCTAGTTAAGACTGAAGGTCCTTCTGATGCAGCAACCTGTTCCTAAAATGACCAAAGAGATGTCTACTAGGGCTGTCCAAACACGGAAAAATTTGTTTCTAAACTCGATTCGTTTTTAGGGGGTTTTTTTGCGTTTCGTTATTTAAAAGAATTCCGAAATTTTCCTTTAAAAAAGTTCAATATTTACGAAATTTCGGTAATCATAAAACAATTACGAAACAATTACGAATCGATTACGAATCGATTCATTAATGGCAGCCGCGATCGCGCAATACGCTAAAATCTTCTGAAGCTTTCCTCTCCCTCTTTTGTTGACTGTTGGTGTGATAATTATATTTTTTTCACTGAGAAAACAAACAGCAACCCTAAAACTTGCACCAGACATGCGGAAATAATAACGAAACATTTACGAATCAATAACGAATCAATAACGAAACAATTACGAAACGAATTGGAAAAATTCGTTTCGTTTTTTAGTTGCTCCTGAATGGTTCAATATCGCTTCGTTATAAAAAAAATAACGAATTTTTAACGAATTACGAAATTACGAAACGAAACCTCCCAGCCCTAATGTCTACAGCAAACCTGTGCAAAGGAAGCCGGTGATTTTGATGTCAACGAAGCAGTTAATCTGCTCCAGGTATTAGTTTAAACATTTTAGTTATCAAAACTAAACCCAATATCTTGGTTAGATCCTTCCAAATTTTGACTAAATCCCAGAGCAGATTCACTACCACAGTAACATGGAAGCTACCGGCTGCCACAAGACACAATTGCAAAATCATTCTCCTATTTGTGTGTCTCACTGAGAGGTACTTGCTCAGTCCATGGGAATAATACATAAGCTTCAATGAACAGCTTTTAAAAGTGTCCAAACTGGCAGCCAAATTGTGTTTCCATTTTATAGCACTTCACACAGTATTGCAATTGCAGTTTTTGCAGTAAAA